TCTACTGTATTGTAAATAAATCTCTAAATTGATATTTGGTACATGACTGAAATATATAAAAGAACATATTTCTAATTTATAACGAGCGGTGGGAAAACCGGACAAAAGTTTTTCCAGCGTTATAACGACTGATCATTAGTAGAACGCGCTGAACTTGAAAACGATCAATTAACACAATGCGTGGTCTGTTTAATTAATAACATCCGAGATTAATTAACGTTTCGGGGTGGCTCGTATATATATATATATATTCCTACATTTCGCATTCAATGTCTTTCAGCGGTCGATCGTCAAAGCAGGCCTTGATCTCTCTCTGAAATAATTAAATCTAACTGCTTCGCTGAATTCACAAGTATGTATATTCGAACAGTATTAAATTTATACACACACGTACGTGTACATGCGTGTGTGATCTCTTTTCGATAATTTATTTTACACGATGCAAAATTAATTCCGCGATAGAAGAAGAGAAATTAATGCAGCTTACCATGAAATGATAGCACAACGACAGTATTGGTATTGACGTCAGGCTTCTCAAAATTTCTCGAGTATCGGGGTCGGCTATTTGGGTTAAGAATTTATTTCCAAGGTCCTGCGAATACGACTATCACACGGAATATGAAATTTCCACCAGTTTCCAGTACTTTTTTTTAACAATGGCATTGGACGTCGTGTGTATTCACGAAGTGAAATCAAGGATAGTCCGCAGTTAGTCTTTCGATGAATCTCTCGATTCGTACTATGTATTATACTTGTGTATTTTGTTTCTTACCATTCGTAAGGTCGTGTTCAATTAAGTGGAAGTTATTTCTTGCAATTTCCTCAAATTAATCGTGCGACCAATACAATATAAAATGAAGCTCGATGTTTATTGCCTTAAAAAAAAATATCTCAAAGTATCATTAAAATTATAATGAGATACGGTTGTGACTAGAAAAAAGAAAGAAAGATGATCTTGTAGCTGGAAAACTAAGATTAGAAGATTAGGGATAGATAAACAATCGTAAACAATATTTTAATAATGTTTCTGCTTTATTCAG